AAAAAAAAAAGGGAAGACAGAAGCAGGGAGAGACAGGAACCAAGACACAGAAACAGAGATAGAAGGCTGGGGGTGCTGGGGGGTGGGGGTGGGGGCTCCCTACCGCTAGCTCGTTTGCTGGAGGCTGAATTATCAGTAGAAAATCTTCATTCCCTGAAAAATCGAGTTCACTGGAGTCATGTGGAACCTTCTTCTCAATTTTGGCATTTCTTAAGAGTGTGGGTCAGGGAACAGCAGGTGGTGTGGTGGTTAAGGTGTTAGACTCCCACATGGCTGTCCATGGTTTCAATCCTGGACCCAGTGGCTTGAGAATCACACTGGGTGCATGTGTGTGCATGCCAAAAAATCCCAAGAGGAGAGTGGAAGAGAAGGATTGCAGCATGGCCACCCCCTGTGGGTGATTTCTCACTTTCCCTCTCTTTGTCTCTCTCCGGTGAGTGCACACACCCTATAGCAAAAACCTTTAAAAAAAAAAAAAAAAAAGAAGAAGAAGAGTGTGAATCAGGGCCAGATGGTGGCACAGTGGTAAAACTTGATGCTCTGGAAACCAGCAGATGATGGCATATTGGTTACATCACTGGACTCCCATGTAGTTGACCATGGTTCAAAGCCCAGACCTGGCAGCTTAGAACTCATGCTGGGTGCATGTGCGTGCGTGCCCAAGATCCCGAGAGGAGAATGGGGGAGAAGGGATTGCCGTGTGGCCATCCCCCCTGGGGGTGATTTTTCGCTTTCTGTCTCTGGCTAGTGCACACACCCTATAGTAAAAATCTTTCTAAAAAAACAAACAAAGAAACAAAACCTGATGCTCTGACCACATGGGAGGGTTCAGAGTGTGTATCCAGAGACTTCCCTAAACACACCACGTATATGTGCCTGTGATTTGGGGCTGACTGAGGCTGAGGAGGGATTGTGCAGCAACAAGACACTGTTGGGATGCTGTCTCTCTCTCTTTCTCATGGAAGAAATGAACATATAACCTTAAAAAAGGAGAGCAGTAGGGGTCCACTAGTCCAGCGCCTGGCATAAAGGGGGTAGTGAATGCACGCCTGGCTCTTGGGGGATGCGTGCTGTTTGTTTGTTAGCCTAGCCTTTGAGAGAGTACGCGACAAGGATGACACAGGTCTAGGTCTTGGAGCGCTGTCTAATTAGGGATAAGATTAGGAGCTAAGTTCCCAGCTAAGGAGACTTCTGGACATCCCTACTGGGAAGCATTGGGGAAGGACAGGGAGGGCTGAAAGATGGCTGCAGAGGAAAGGGGAGGAACACCTGCAGATTGGGGGCGGGAGGAAGCTGTTAAAGGGTGTTCAGGTGAGAGGGAGAGGCATGTGGATCTGAGTAGGGCTGCGTGAGGAAGTATATTAAGAGGAGCTTCAAAGCCAGTCCTGTAGCCCAATGTTTAGGAATCCGGGTCTCACGTGGCTGACTGTGGTTTGAATCCAAGCCACAGCAGCTTGAAAAACATGCTGGGGGCATGCTCCAAATTCCAACAGGTTGAAGAAATGGAAGAGAAGGGGTTGCAGAGTAACTAAACCCCTTTGAGGGAGTTCCCTCTCTCTCATGGTGAGCGCACGTGCCCTCTGGCAGTTAAAGATGCAGCAACAGCAGCTTCAGCGTGAAGGCCCCCAGGGTAATGCTCCCTTGCCTGACCTTGTCCCCCTTTCCACCTCAGACGAACGCCTCACAGCTGAGGAGATGGATGAGCAGAGGCGGCAGAACCTTGCCTATCAGTACCTATGCCGGCTGGAGGAAGCCAAGCGGTAAGAAAAGTCCAGAAAATGGACTCTTTTGACCTCTCTCTCCACCCTGCCCACCCAGACACCTGCCCCTAGGCAAATGCAGCGGCAGGAAGGTCCTTGCTGTGGAAAGGTTGAGTTGATTTTTTTTTTTTGAGAGGTTTTTGCTATAGGGCACGTGCACTCGCCAGAAAGAGACAGTGAGACAGAAAGTGAGAAATCACCCCCTGGGGAGATGGCCACGCTGCAATCCCTTCTCTTCCATTCTCCTTTCGGGATCTTGGGCACACATGCACACACGCCCGGCTTGAGTTTAAGCCACCAGGTCCGAGACTCGAACCACGGTCGGCTACATCGGAGTTCAGCGACATAGCCATTACGCCAACTGCTGGTACCTGCAAAGTCTTTAATCTAGAGCAGCCCACCTCCCCTCTTCAGTTCTTTATGTCATTTATTTGTTGAAACAACTGGGTCGTTTTTTTCTGTAGAACTCCTACATTCGGTGTTGTCTATTTGCTTTCTTGTGTCTTTCCCTTTAGTCCTCTCCACCCCATATTTCCTATAAGTATTGTAGAGGTGGGCTCTAAAGGATTGATTAGATTCAGGTTCAATATTTTTAATGGGAACTCTTCATTGGGGGTGATGTGAGTTTCATATCACATCCTGTAGGAGGAATCCAATGTCTGCTTGTCCCACTGCTGATGCTGTCTGATCTGGGAGTTCTGGTGTTGATAACCTGATCTCTACATCAGAAAATTCCCCATTAACCTTTCCTTGAATCCTTTCATTCATCGTTGGTCCTCACTAGGATCTATTTCATGGGATACAAAATGACTATTTTATCACCCACGCTGGGTTCTAAGCCCTGTAGATTTTCACGCACATGTGACCTTTCTGTGTCCAGGTTTCCAGAGGACAATGCAGAATGAGAGAAATGAGCAGATTCAGTCTGTTTCAGCAGAAAATACGTAACGAGGCTGGGTGAGAGGCTCTGTGGTAAGACAGGGAAGAACCTAGTTAAGCCTCACTGAGGATGGGCAGGCTCAGAATATGTCAGGGAAGCTTTTCTCAGGTGGGTGGGGCTGAGGACTGGCCAATCCAGGCCTTTGGGGCAGCTTGGAAGAAGGTAGGGACAGCCATATAAGGGCAGAGAGGGTGATTAGGGGAGGGCAGGAACAGGAAGCAGGGGAGAGTCAGGGTCTGATGAGGGGGAAGGAGGGAGGGCAGGAAGGTTCTACAGTGAGAATATCCCTTGTGCGGCCACATGGCATAGCGGTAAAACCTGATGCCCTGAGAGGCTGACCCACAGGGGAAGAGTCTGGATTCATACCCAGAGGCCTCCCTGGGGGTTCTCTCTCCTTTGCTTCCTTTCTTTTTCTCTCATTCATGGAAGAAACAAATAAATAAACTTTTTTAAAAAAGATTTATTTATTATTTAATTCCAGGTTATTATTATTTTTTAAATTTGACCAGAGAGAGAGAGGAAGGGAAAGTGAGAAAGCAAGCCACCAGGGACCAGCAGGTGGCATGGTGGTTAAGGCGCTGGATACTCCCACGTGGCTGACCACAGTTTGTGTCCCAGGCCTGGTGGTGGCCTTTCTCCCTTTCTCTCTCTCCCTCTGTGTCTCTCTCTGGTCAAATTAAAATAAATGGATAAATAAAATTAAATAATCATTTAAAAAAAAAAAAAGAAAGAAAGAAAGCCACCAAGTCCAGGACTTGAACCACGTTGTCCACGTGGGAATCCAGCGCCTTTAGCTACCACATCACCTGCTGGCCTCCAAATAAATAGACTTTTAAAAACATGATTTAGGGGCCGGCAGGTGGCATGATGGTTAAGGGTGCTGGACTCCCACATGGCTGACTGTGGTTCGAGCCCCTCTCTGGTCAGATTAAAAATAAATAAATATGGACAAGCAGTTAGTGTAATAGCTATGTCGCTGAACTCCCATGTAGCCAACTGTGGTTCAAGTCCTGGGCCTGGTGGCTTAAACTCATGCTGGGCGCGTGTGCGTGCGTGCCCAAGATCCCGAGAGGAGAATGGAGGAGAAGGGATTGTGGTGTGGCCATCCTCCCTGGGGGGGAGACTTTCTGTCTCTCTGTCTCTCTCTGTCTTTCTGGCGAGCCCACATGCCCTATAGCAAAAACCTCACCAAAAAAAAAAAGTTTTAATAAAGTTAAATAAAATCATTCTTTAAAAAAATATTTTAAAAATATCCACTATGGGAACTAGCAGGTAACTTGGTGGTTAAGGCTCTGGCTTAACCACCAGGTCCCGCATGGCTGACTGGACCTGGACCTGGCAGCTTGAAAATCAGACCAGGCGCATGTGCATGCATGTCTAGAATCCCAAGAAGAGAAAAGAAGAGAAGAGACTGCGGTGTGGCCTTCCTCCATGGGGGTGATTTATCACTTTCCCTCTCTCTGTCTCTCTGATGACCACACATGCCCTATAACAAAAACCTAGAAAAAAAATCCACTATGGCCTGCCAGAGTGAGTGAGGAGTGCCTTCATGTTCATAGCTGGATGGAGGCCTGCCTGAAGGAGGAGCTTCCTTCCCCGGTGGAGCTGGAGGAGAGCCTCCGGAACGGGGTGCTGCTAGCCAAGCTGGGCCACTGCTTCGCACCCTCTGTGGTTCCTGTGAGGAAGATCTATGACGTGGAGCAGCTGCGATACCAGGTGGGGAATAACGGACTCCACCGTACCCTCTTCCTGTCCCTACCCCTTCTCAGAGCCGTGAGGGTGGGGTGCCATGTAACGCACTGCTCAGATCTGGACACTTGAGAATGGTGGGTGTCATCTGTCACTGCACCGGGACAGCAGGTATTAATCGTGTCTCCCAGCCAGGTGGGCGTGTACTACGCAGAGCTGCAAGGGCGCTGACTAGGTGGGCTCTCCTGTGTCCCCGAGGTGAGAGCCGCCAAGCAGGCGTTGTCACTCACAGTGCACACTTGAGAGCGGTGGGCGCTGCCATCCGAAGGTGCTTCCAGGCAGCTCTTCCTCTCTGCTCCAGCCAGCCCAGCCCTGGACCCTGCTTCCCTAGGGAGGCTGACCAGACTGCTAGTCCCACCCCTGTGCCAGCCTTCCCAGATGCCTCACTGCGTCGCCTGTTTCTGGTGGTTTCTGTCTCTGTTGCTCTGTGCTGGGGGGATGGGAAATCTACGAGGTACGGTCCTCGGACTCCCCTTCCCTGCCCTGTGAACCTAAGCGTGGTCTGGGCTCTGACTCTAGGAAGTGCTGAGAGCTGTGGAAACAGACGCTTCTCTTTCCTTCCCTTTCAGGCAACTGGCTTGCATTTCCGCCACACGGACAACATCAATTTTTGGCTGTCTGCAATAGCTCACATCGGCCTGCCTTCGGTAATGCAGGGCCTCGAGACTGGGGTCCATCTCGGCTCCTCCCCACCCCCACTCAAGCTTTATCTCTCCCGACCCCTTACCCCATCTTCACGTGTCTCCTAAACTGACGCCACCCAAGAGCACAGACCGCGGGGCTATGTGTCTCTGAACCAGGTTACGTGGTCTTGGCCTCTACGTCCCTGTGAACTAAAGGAGGTAAAGGCGCCTGGCCCGAGTCAGAGCGTTTCCGTCCTGCAGCGGGGCCCATGTGAGGCAGATGGGCTGGCCATGTTCCCAGCAGAATGTCACAGTGGGAAGCCAGGCCGTGTCATCCCGCGGTGCTGGACCTTGAGCTGGAAGCCTAGGCCCAAGACCCCAGCTGGACACATGGTGCATGTTCTCTCTCTGCGTCTCAGCCTTTTTCTCCTCTGCGAAGTGGGTACAGTGATCCATGCCCTGGCTACCTTATAATGTTGTTAGAAGGTGGTCCTTGTGAGTGTCCTTCGTGGGCTGTGAAGAACTATACAAATTGAGGCATGAGGGGCCAGCAGGTGGTGTGGGACTTAGGTGCTGAACTCCCACATGGCCGACCATGGTTGGAGTTCTGGACCTGGTGGGTTGCTTTTCACTTTCTCTCTCTTTCTGTCTCTTCTCTGGTAAGTGCGTGTGTCCTATAGCAAATTTAAAAATAATAAGGGACCAGCGCTTGCGCAATGGCTATGTCGCTGGATGTCTCTGTAGTCGACTGTGGTTCAAGTCCCAGACCCAGTGGCTTAAACTCATGCCAGGCACATGCGTGTGCGTGCCTAAGATCCCAAGAGGAGAATGGAGAAGAGATTGTGACGTGGCCACCCCCCTGGGGGGTGATTTCTTGCTTTTTGTCTCTCTGTCTCTCTCTGTCTTTCTGGCGAGTGCACGTGCCCTATAGCAAAAATCTTTCCAAAATAATTAAATAAATAAATAAAGACAAAAAATTAAAATAATAATAAATAAAATTAAAAATAAAATTTAAAAAATTATTTATTTTTAAGAGGTTTTTGTCTTAAGGTGTGTGTACTCGTCAGAGAGAAACAGAGACAGTGAGAGGGAAGGTGTGAAATCACACCTCAGGAGAGATGGCCGTGCTGCAATCCATTTTCCTCCCGGATCTTGGGCATGCACGCACATGTGCCCAGCCCATATGTGGGTTTCAAACCACCGGGTCTGGGACTCGAACCCTAGTTGACCATGTGGGAGTCCAGTGATGTAACTGCTATGCCATTTTCTGGCTAAGAAATAACTATTTAGGGATCAGTACATGGCATAATGATTATGTCGCTGGACTCCCACATAGTTGACTGTGATTTAAGTCCCAAACCCGGCAGCTTAAAACTCATGCTGGTCATGTGTGCGTGCATGCCCAAAATCCTGAGAGGATGGAGAAGATGGGATTGCAGAGTCGCTATCCCCTCTGGGGTCGATTTCTCACTTTCTGTCTCCCTGTTGCTCTCTGTTTCTCCAGCAAGCACACAGTCACCACGTGGCGTGGAAAGCCGTGCTTGGGGCGACTCAGTTCTTAGGGGTCCCTGTTGATCAGAGGCCTCTGGCTTGGAGACAGAGATGACAATGTAGGCCTCATGGGCCCTCATGGGGGTTACGGCCAGCCCTCCCCAGCACCCCACCTTTCTTGCGAGAGTCCGAAGTGAGAGGCCCGGGCTCCCTGTCTGTAGGTGACCGGGAGCCTGTTACTCCTGCAGGGTGCGGCTTGCGTCTTCTAGCACAGGAGGCCTCGTGCGGTGTTCTGCTAACCCAGGGCCCTGGCTGTGTGTCTGCCGCCGAGTCTATGCTTAGTGTGTCCCCAGCGCCGTTCTTTTATGCTGGTGCCTGGGAATGCATGGGGAGCTGGGTCCAGGAGCCCTGGGCAACAGTGGAGTACACCCCTGGGCTGGAGTGGAGGACCCATCCCTCGGCCCCCTCCCTCCATAGCCGGTGCTGCTTCAAGGTCTCCAGTGACGGTAACTGGCTGGTTTCCCTCCAGACCTTCTTCCCAGAGACCACGGACATCTATGATAAGAAGAACATGCCCCGGGTGATCTACTGCATCCATGCGCTCAGGTGAGGGGCCCTGAGTTCCTGTTACCCGGCCTCCTTCCTCTGGGTGGGTGCCGCAGCAAACGTACCAGGGAGGTGGGGGATAGGTCACAGAGGCATGCCTCAGGGACAGGGGCTCGGATTTACAGCCGTGGTTAGGTTTGCTGGCACGTCTGGGGCACATTTATGTGTGCCCCGTGTGGGCGACGAGAAAGGGCAGCAGGGGAGCAGAGGCAGGAGGCCAGCAGGCCAGCGTCCTCAGTGTGCGAGCACCGCCACACCCACCACAGGCGCCATAAGCAAGCCACCTGGAGTGGAGGGTGAGGGCTGTGCGATCCTGCTCCCAGCCAGCCCTCTCCACCAGATGCCAAGTCACGGAAAGTGGCTGCTGCTCCTTGGGCCCACTAAGTCGTCGCTTCCTGACTTCCCTTCTGGGGCCCTTTCCTGCTGCTGTGCCCTGGCTCAGTGGGTCCCCGTGTGCTGCCCTTCTACGGAGCCTTCCCCGCCCCCAGGCCTCCCACAGTATCTCATTCACCTTCCGTAGCACCTGCCTTGGGCTGATTCTTGGTAACACTTCCCTGGGGGTGGAGTGACTGAGTGGTCTTCATCTCGGGGCCACATAATGGGCAGAGTTGAAGTGAATGGTCCCAGGGCCTTCCAGTGCCTTCTATTCTTCCCCAGTCTCTTCCTCTTCCGGCTGGGGCTGGCCCCTCAGATACACGACCTGTACGGCAAGGTGAAGTTCACAGGTAAGCCCTGTCCCTTCCCCGACCTCTACAGCCTGGGCAGGGCCTCGGGGCTTCTGGGCCTGGTAAAGGCCACTTGCGGTGTCATTGTAGCCGAGGAACTCAGCAACATCGCCTCTGAGCTGGCCAAGTACGGCCTCCAGCTGCCGGCCTTCAGCAAGATCGGGGGCATCCTGGCCAGCGAGCTCTCCGTGGATGAGGCTGCAGGTGAGAATGGGTGCTGCCCTGCCAGGAGGGTGCAGTGAGTCTGGGGCTCCAGGCCTTTCCGCCCTCTGCTGGATTCCGACCACGTCTCATCCACAGGCAGGGCCGCCAGGCTCCGTGGTTTGCCTGGCCCCTGAGGATGGAAGAAGGGGTGATGGCGGAGGGGTCTGCAGCTGGTGCTCCGGTCTGGGGTCACTCTGACCTCCTGACCTGTCCATGCCCACTCAGTCCACGCAGCTGTCCTGGCCATCAATGAGGCGGTGGAGCGAGGGGTGGTCGAGGACACCCTGGCTGCCTTGCAGAATCCCAACGCTCTTCTGGGGAATCTTCGAGAGCCCCTGGCAGCCATCTACCAGGAGCTGCTGGCCCAGGCCAAGATGGAGAAGGCTGCCAGTGCCAGGCACCACGTGAGGACGAGGCGCGGGCCGTAGGGAGTGGGCAGTCGGGTGGCCTGGGAAGTTGTGAGGGAAGCCAGGACTCTTACCTGTCCTGTCTCTGGGTTCCAGAGTTACTTTTTGGAGAAACTGTAACTGTCAGTGATTTTAGAGAAATGGGAAAATGAGGATGCAGAAGAAAAGACTGGGGGGCGGAGGGGATCTTCAGGAGGACCTGAGAGGGGTCCTGGAATATAGAGCAGGGTGAGGTTGGGCTGGAGATTCCACGGGGTGGTTTGGCTTAGCTGTGTCAGTGCCGGGGCTTAGGCCCCAGAGTCCCTCTGAACACACTGACCTTTGGCTGGGGGAGGCCCCCAGAAGGAACAGGCGAGGACAAGAGGGAGGAGGAGAAGACTGAATTGGTTTTCCCAGGTTCCCTCCTAATGTGGTTTTGCAGGATGATGGAGGAAGCCCGGACATCTATGACCACTACCTGACTCAGGCTGAAATCCAGGGCAACATCAACCATGTCAATGGTAAGAGAGGCAGGCAGACGGGGGCGGGCCTCTCAGGGTAAGCCCCTGGCCTGGGAGGTTTGGAGATGGTTTCTCTCAGACCGGAGAGCCCTATGATCTCATGGGGCCTAGTCTCGCCTCTGGGAAAGACCAGAGTCCAAGTTCTGGCCATCGGCATCTGGAAAAGAAGTGATCCCTGCCAGGGAGGATTCTGTTTGAATGAAGGTCCACAGAGAAGTTGGTGGCCGAGGGGCAGGCCTTGGCCTTTGTGCTGGGTGCAGCTGGACTGGGTTCCTTTGAGGAGAGGCCACGGCGAATAGATGGGGCAATGGCAGTGGAGTGCCTGTCTGTACTGTGTTGCCAGGCAGACAGACCTGATGCCGGCTTGTTTACAAAGGACAGAGATTTATTTGGCTCATAGTTCTGGTGACTGGGAAGTGCAGAGGCATGAGGCTGGCCTCCTGCAACTTCACAACATGACCGACAGACGCATAAGGGCAGGCACATGCAATGCGGGAGGAGACAGAACCGTCCGTGTCCTCTGTCCCTGTCACAGAGGGACAGACAGATGTCTCTATGGATAGTGCTCCCCCCCCCCCACTCGGCACCACCTGATTAGGCCATACCTGTTAAAGGTCTCAGCACCTCCCAAAGCCTTTACACTAGGGACCAAAGCTTCTAGAACATGAATCTTCGGGACAAACCATTATCCAACCATAGCAGAGAGATCAGGGCAGAGGAGCTGCTCGAAGATTCAAGATGGGAAGGCTTTTGCCTTTGGATCAGGATATCCTCAGAGTCTGGAGGGGTGAAATGAGAAGGCTTTGAAGACCACGCCAAAGAATTGGAGCTGGACCAGATGGTCCCAGGAACCCAGGGGCAAGGATGGGGATAATTCTGGTTAGGTGGGAAGAGAGCAGATTCCCAGGGTGGCTGGGGGGAGGGGAGCAGTGGGTTTTCTCACTCTGTCCACTTGGTCTTTTACAGTTCATGGGGCTCTAGAAGTTGTCGATGATGCCCTGGAAAGACAGAGCCCTGAGGCCCTGCTTGAGGCCCTTCAAGACCCTGCCCTGGCCCTGCGAGGGGTGAGGAGAGACTTTGCCGACTGGTACCTGGAGCAGCTGAGCACAGACAGAGAGCAGAAGGCACAGGTCAGGCTCGGTTACTTGCCGCCTCCTCCATCTGCCTGGAGCATGGGAGAGGGCCTCTTACTCGAGCTCACTATGGTCAGTTCTTGTACTCAGGAAGTGCTCACTGCATGTTTAAGTGCTTAAGTTGCCCCGTGGTTAAATCAGCCCACACTAGCAGGTTAGGTGATCTGAGTCCCTCACACTGCCCGGGAAGGATGCGAGGCAATCCACAAGGCCGTGATGTGTTCCCCATTGCAGAATCAGGGCTTCGACTTAGCAGTCTTGTTTCCAGTACTGTTGGTTTTCTCCCTGACTCCATCTGTACTTGGTGATCTGTGTCTATCTAGTAGCTTGCTGGTTCGTGGGGATGGGTGGGTCAGGTGTTCTGTCTGAAGGGAGAGGTAGGCCTGACAGTGGGTGTCTGGGTAGAGCTGAGAGCTCATGCTGGCAGCTCCTAGAACATGTTCATGGCCTCAGGAGGATTCCCACCCCCTGCATCTCTTCCATTTTTCAGGAGCTGGGCCAGGTGGAACTTCTGGAAAAGGAGGAGGTCCAGGCTGGTGTGGCTGCAGCCAACATGAGGGGTGATCAGGAGCAAGCCAGTAGGTTATCTGCAGGTTGGGGCCAGAGGGAGGCATGGCGGTTGAGTTGCTGGACTCTCACATGGCTGGCTGCAATTTGAGGCCTGGACCCGGTGACTTGCTTTCTCATTTTCCTTCTCTCTCTCTCTCTGGTGAGTGCATGGACCTTACTGCAAATTAAATAATAATAATAAATTAAATGAAATGAAATAATCCTTTAAAATATATATATATCTGCAGGCCTGAGGCCTAGTCTGCTATATCACTGTCTCCTGGAAGAGCATCCCACCCCTTCCTCGGTTTCTGTATTCAGCAATGCAAACTGCTGCCTGACTTCCCAGCCTGGCAAGGGACTTCTTCCTCACAGTCTGCCCTGTTCCTGGCTGCCTGGGGGAACTGCAGATAAGTTCATTAAGGCCTTAGAGAGAAAGACAAGTCAGCACTGCAGAGCTGGGCTCCTGGGGCGGGCGGTTCCCTTCCAGGAAGTTCGCCTGTCATTTTGACAGTTTCAACCTGCTTTAGTTCCTCTGGCTTCTGAAATGTAGTGATTTCCCAGGTGAGAGAAAAATTCATATCCCAACTCCATTTCCCTTAAAAACATTATACACAAATATAATTATTATTATTTTTTTCATTGCCAGAGAATGCATGCGCTCACCAGAGAGAGACAGAAGGAGAGAGTAAAAGGGAGAAAGCACCGTTAATGGGGTCTGGCCACACTGCAATGCCCTCTGCTCCATTTCGCCACCTCCGCGCACATGTGCAAACACACCCAGTGTGTTGGAAGCCGCTGGGATTCAAACCATGGTTGGCCATGTGGGTTCCACTCTCGTAGCCATTAGGGTATGGGGCTGGCCCTACAAATTTAATTCATTTTTTTCTTCGCTTTTTACAGGTTTTTGCCTTAGAGGGTATGTGCTTGGAAAAGTGAGAAATCATCTCCCAAGGGGGATGGCCACTCCTTAATTCCTTCTCTGTTCTCCTCCCTGGATCTTTAGCATGCATACACACACACCCAGTGGGAGTTTCAGGCCACCTGATCTGGGACTCAAAGTGCCCTTGGCCACTGGGAGTCCAGTGACATAACTGCTATGCCATCTGCTGGTCCTACATGTTTAATTCTTTTTTTTTAAGAATTATTTTGGCAGGACCAGCAGTTGGTGTAATGGCTATGTTGCTGGACTCCCATGTAGTCAACTGTGGTTCGAGTCTCAGAACCAGTGGCTTAAACTCACGCCGAGCACTTGTGCGTGTGTGCCCAGGATCCCAAGAGGAGAATGGAGGCCATCCCCCCGGGGGGTGATTTCTTGCTTTCTGTCTGTCTTTCTGGTGAGCGCATGTGCCCTATAGCAAAAACCTCTCCTCCAAAAAAAGAATTATTTTGGCATTTCTTAAACGTGTGGGTCAGGGCCCGGCAGGTGGTGTGGTGGTTAAGGCATTGGACTCCCACATGGTGGACCATGGTCCTAGTCCCAGACCTGGCGGCTTGCCTTCTCACTTTCCCTCTCTCTGTCTTTCTCTGGTCAAATTAAAAATAATAAAATAAATTAAATAAATAACTTAAAAATAATTATTAAAAAAAGAATTATCTTATTTAACTATTTATTTATTTATTTTTTTGGAGAGGTTTTTGCTATAGGGCACGTGCTCTCACCAGACAGACAAAGAGAGACATAGAGACAGAAAGTGAGAAATCACCCCTCCAAGGGGGATGGCCACGCCGCAATCCCTTATCCTCCATTCTCTTCTCGGGATCTTGGGCACGCATGCACATGTGCCCGGCGTGAGTTCTAAGCCACCGGGTCCGGGATGTGGTCGACTACGTGGGAGTCCAGCGACATAGCCATTACGCTAACTGCTGGTTCCCATTTATTTTTTAAAAATTTGACCAAGGAACAGAGAAAGTGAGCGAGAGAAAGAGAGAAAGTAAGAAAGCAAGCTGCCGGGTCCAGGGCTTGAACCATAGTTGGCCATCTGGGAGTCCAGTGCCCTTAATCACCACGCCACCTGCTGGTCCCTACAAGTTTAATTCTTTATTAAAAGAATGAGTTGGGGGACCAGCAAATGGTGTAATGGTTACATCACTGGACTCTCACATAGTTGACTGTGGTTCAAGTCCTGGACCCAGTGGCTTTAAACTCACATCACGTGCATGAACGTGCTTGTCCAAGATCCCAAGAGGAGAATGGAGGAGAAGTGATTATGGCATAGCCATCCTTCTGGGGGGTGATTTTTCACTTTTTGTCTCTTTCTCTCTGTCTCTCTGGCGAGCACACATGCCCTACAGCGAAAAAATCTGAGGAAAAAAAGTTAAAAAAAAAAAAAAGAATGTGCGTTGGTTGGGACAAGCAGATGGCGTAATGGTTACATTGTTGTGCTCCGACGTAATCTCCTCGATTGAGTCCTGGACCCTACCGCTCTAAACTCACACCAGAGGGCCAGCAGGTGGCATGGTGGTTAAGGGTGTTGGACTCTCACATGGTCAACTGCGGTTCAAGTCCCAGACCTGGCAGCTTGCTTTCTCAATTTCTCTCTCTCTCTCTCTCTCTCTCTCTCTCTTACTCTCACTCTGTCCCTCTCTGGTCACATTAAATTAAATAAATAAATAAATAAACAAACAAACAAAGTTAAATAAAAAATAATTCTTGGGGAAGAAAAAAACAACACCTCATGCCCGGCATGTGTACGTGTGTGCTCAAAATCCCCAAAGAAGGATTGTGGCATGGCCATTCCCTTGCGGGGGTGGGGGCGGTAATTTCTTGCTTTCTGTCTTTCTGGCAGGTGCAAACACCCTATGGCAAAAATCTCTCTTAAAAAAAAAAAAAATTGAGCTGGTAATCACCTCCCTCCGAGGGGTCACTGTGTGTAGCAAGAGTGCAGAGAGGGCCAGGTGGTGGCACAGCGGTGAAACGTAGCGCTCTGTGAGCCTGACCATTGAGAGCTTCTTGGTTTGCATCCCAAGACCTCCCTGAGGACGTCGGGGACACGTGTGCCCAGGACTGGGGCTGGCCAAAGGCTAGGGCTTGTTCGGGGGCCTGTTGAGGATGGTGTCTTCTCTCTGCCTCTTGCTCATGTAAGAAATAAATTAATAAACTTAAAAAAATAACTGATGAGAAAGAGCCGAGGGACCGTACCGTCGCCCCCAGACACTAGAGCTGGTACAACTGCTTGACTCATTCAGGGTGACTGTCAGGTTCTGAGGTTGCTCAGTAACCATTTGCCTTCGTGTAACGCTTTCCACTGCGCGACCCCGGTCCCCCCAGGCCTCTCCTGGCTCGCTGCTTGCCACATCAGCTCGGTTCACCCCCCCACGGCTGCTGCCAGAGCACTCTCCACGCACCCGTCTGCTCTTATCTTCCTCACCGAACATCCTGGGCCTTCACGCTCCTCCCATGATTTACCCTGCACTTTAGTCCTGTCTCCTCGGGTGGCAGTTAAGACCTTTCCGGAATTCTTCCCCCTCCCTTCCGTTCACGTTCCTCCCCGTTCAGCCGAGCCATCACCCCTCCAAGGGGGATGGCCACGCCGCAATCCCTTATCCTCCATTCTCTTCTCGGGATCTTGGGCACGCATGCACATGTGCCCGGCGTGAGTTCTAAGCCACCGGGTCCGGGATGTGGTCGACTACGTGGGAGTCCAGCGACATAGCCATTACGCTAACTGCTGGTTCCCATTTATTTTTTAAAAATTTGACCAAGGAACAGAGAAAGTGAGCGAGAGAAAGAGAGAAAGTAAGAAAGCAAGCTGCCGGGTCCAGGGCTTGAACCATAGTTGGCCATCTGGGAGTCCAGTGCCCTTAATCACCACGCCACCTGCTGGTCCCTACAAGTTTAATTCTTTATTAAAAGAATGAGTTGGGGGACCAGCAAATGGTGTAATGGTTACATCACTGGACTCTCACATAGTTGACTGTGGTTCAAGTCCTGGACCCAGTGGCTTTAAACTCACATCACGTGCATGAACGTGCTTGTCCAAGATCCCAAGAGGAGAATGGAGGAGAAGTGATTATGGCATAGCCATCCTTCTGGGGGGTGATTTTTCACTTTTTGTCTCTTTCTCTCTGTCTCTCTGGCGAGCACACATGCCCTACAGCGAAAAAATCTGGGGAAAAAAAGTTAAAAAAAAAAAAAAGAATGTGCGTTGGTTGGGACAAGCAGATGGCGTAATGGTTACATTGTTGTGCTCCGACGTAATCTCCTCGATTGCGTCCTGGACCCTACCGCTCTAAACTCACACCAGAGGGCCAGCAGGTGGCATGGTGGTTAAGGGTGTTGGACTCTCACATGGTCAACTGCGGTTCAAGTCCCAGACCTGGCAGCTTGCTTTCTCAATTTCTCTCTCTCTCTCTCTCTCTCTCTCTCTCTTACTCTCACTCTGTCCCTCTCTGGTCACATTAAATTAAATAAATAAATAAATAAACAAACAAACAAAGTTAAATAAAAAATAATTCTTGGGGAAGAAAAAAACAACACCTCATGCCCGGCATGTGTACGTGTGTGCTCAAAATCCCCAAAGAAGGATTGTGGCATGGCCATTCCCTTGCGGGGGTGGGGGCGGCAATTTCTTGCTTTCTGTCTTTCTGGCAGGTGCAAACACCCTATGGCAAAAATCTCTCTTAAAAAAAAAAAAAATTGAGCTGGTAATGGCAGGTGCAAACACCCTATGGCAAAAATCTCTCTTAAAAAAAAAAAAAATTGAGCTGGTAATCACCTCCCTCCGAGGGGTCACTGTGTGTAGCAAGAGTGCAGAGAGGGCCAGGTGGTGGCACAGCGGTGAAACGTAGCGCTCTGTGAGCCTGACCATTGAGAGCTTCTTGGTTTGCATCCCAAGACCTCCCTGAGGACGTCGGGGACACGTGTGCCCAGGACTGGGGCTGGCCAAAGGCTAGGGCTTGTTCGGGGGCCTGTTGAGGATGGTGTCTTCTCTCTGCCTCTTGCTCATGTAAGAAATAAATTAATAAACTTAAAAAAATAACTGATGAGAAAGAGCCGAGGGACCGTACCGTCGCCCCCAGACACTAGAGCTGGTACAACTGCTTGACTCATTCAGGGTGACTGTCAGGTTCTGAGGTTGCTCAGTAACCATTTGCCTTCGTGTAACGCTTTCCACTGCGCGAACTCGGTACCCCCAGGCCTCTCCTGGCTCGCTGCTTGCCACATCAGCTCGGTTCACCCCCCCACGGCTGCTGCCAGAGCACTCTCCACGCACCCGTCTGCTCTTATCTTCCTCACCGAACATCCTGGGCCTTCACGCTCCTCCCATGATTTACCCTGCACTTTAGTCCTGTCTCCTCGGGTGGCAGTTAAGACCTTTCCGGAATTCTTCCCCCTCCCTTCCGTTCACGTTCCACCCCGTTCAGCCGAGCCAGACAAGCTGCTCCTCCTTGATTGCCCTCCAGCCCTTTCTCTCACCAGGCCTCTGATCCCCCACAGTCCCTTTCACCCACATTATCCAGAGCTGTCCAAAGGCTTCTTCCTCCGTGGAGTCCTCCTGCTCTCTGCTCGTCAGAATTCCTCCTCCCTGCTCTGCTGTCGCATCAGCAGGGCAAGGTACCTCTAAACTGGCATTGACAGAGCACCCTGTCAGTATTTTTCTTTTTCTTTCTTTTTTCTTTTTTAGAGAGAGATTTTTGCTATAGGGTGTTTGCACTTGCCAGAGAGACGGAGAGAGATAGAAAGAGACGGAAAATGAGAAATCAACGCCCAGGGGGGATGGTCAGCCTCCTCCATTTTCCTCTTAGGATCTTGGGCACGCACGCACACATGCCAGAGTGAGTTTTAAGCCACCAGGTCTGGGACTCGAACCATAGTCAACTATGTGGGAGTCTAGCGATGTAACCATTACACCATCTGTGGGTCCCACCGTTGGTATTTTTCTATCCTTATTTCTCCCCAGCAGATCATGTATGTGCTCCTTGACTTTTTGTTTTCCTTTTTTTTTTTTTTTTTTTTAAGTTTTAAAGATTTATTTCTTCCATGAGTGAGAGAGACAAAAGAGGAGAAAGAGGAAGACAGAAATCCGGGAGGGTTCTGATGCCGGCCTCGGCCAGCCCCAGATCACCTGTCTGCTATACTCGTGGCGGTCTTCAGACTTGAACCTGGAACCCTCCCGTGTAGGACTGCCTTGCAGAGCAGTTATGTTATACTGGTACACCCGTCTGGCTCCAACATGGCACTGGATAAACCCCAGAGTTTGTAAACTCAAACTAGACCGCGGCAGCATAGCCCCTTTTAGCTTACCTCACCCTTTACAGCCCAAATGTCTCTGCCTTGGAGCTGGTTCCTTTACCCCTATGTTGTCATCCAGGTTGGTCCCCGGAGTCCCCAGCTAACCTCATGTCTGTTCCACTCCAGAGCCACCTGCCAATCTTGTGCTCACCACCTTAGGAACTCACCTCTGCTGTGGCAGCCCCTCTGTGGTACATGCTGGGCTGCTCAGCTCTGAGGCCTCACAGAGGGCTTCTTATGGAGCTTCTTCTTCTTTTTTTTTGACAGTGGGAGAGATTTTTGCTATAGGGCAGATATGCTTGCCAGAGAGACAGTCAGAAAGTTAAGAAGTCACCCTGCAGGGGAGATGGCCACGCCGCAGTCCCTTCTCCTCCATTCTCCTCTTGGGAGCTTGGGCATGCACACACATGTGTCCAGAGTGAGTTTTAAGTCTCCAGGTCCAGGACTCGAGCCATAGTCGACTATGTGGGAGTCCAGCAACGTAACCATTACGCCATCTCCCCACGGAACCACTTCTTAAAGCAACCCAGCCCCTCTGCCTCCTGAACTTTTAGGAATGCATTTTGAACCTAGCAGAACGAGTTTCAAGAGTGGTTATAAAGCCATTCCCCTTCCACCACCCCCAGCAGAGCCTACGTGGCTGGGAGCATAGAGTTGTAGAGATGAGAGACTAGAGATGGCAGGGACCACCAGGCCATGCAGCCCCTCGCTCTCCTCCCCTGCAGTGCTCCAGGCCGTGCTGCGGATCAACAGAGCTATCCGGAGGGGTGTGGCAGCTGACACGGTGAAGGAGCTGATGTGCCCCGAAGCCCAGCTGCCCCCGGTGTACCCGTTTGCCTCAGCTACGTACCAGCAGGAGCTGGCGGTGCTCCAGCAGCAGCAGCAGGGGGTGAGCCTCGGGGATCCCAAGCTGGAGGGATCAGGGCTGCAGTCCAGAGCACCCTCCTGGGGTAATCTGAGATGCTGGCAAGAGAGGAGGGTGGGAGGAGGGCCATCACCCTTGCCTTACTGAGGGGCGATCGAAGCCGATGCCCTCGAGCAAACACGTTTTACACACTCACTCCCTGAGAGGATGCTGGGAGTAAGCATCGTTATTATTTCTGTTTTAGCGATGAGGAAACCGCGCAGAGGTTAGATGCCAGCCGTGGCTGGCAGTGCGGGGAGTGCATGCGAAGCCGAATGTACTGAAGCTGGTGCTTTCGACACTCCGCTGTCCCGCTGCACCCCAGTCACACAGCGTCTCTGCCACTAGGGTAGTAGGGCCCTCGCTTAGGGACTTCCCAGTCTGCTGGACGAGCTAGAATACACCTGAGGGTCCCCATACAGACCCAGGGAAATGGAAGAAGCAGAGCTGGGAGTAAGTCTGGGAAGGCTTTCAGGAAGAGC